ATCTTTCCGCTTCATTTATATCTCTTAGATTAGCTATTGCGCGGAGGATCGGAAGCGCATAAATAGAAATTTATATTTTATATCGAAATATAAATAATAAATATCTTCGAGATGATCTAGATAGAGGCGATTTTTAATAGAGATCTCAAGAATTTTCATATTTGAATTTCATTTATATTCCTGCTTAATAGATTCCAATAAAATCGATTCGATTCATAATTTTCGATTCATTTATGAACGAGCAATTTGAAAATCAAAATTTTAAGAACGCAATCAATTCGACGTGCGACCAACCTATCAAAATTATCTAATTATAAAATATATTTCAATATCGAAAATAATAATAATATCATTATTAGAAAATATTTCGTATATCCTCTATTATTTTTCAATGATCGAAAATCATAAAACCAATAAATATAAAAATTTAGAATAATCTAAATGATCGATATTCTAATCATTCTATTAATAAATGAAGCTAAATTAATATAGAATTTCCAGAAATTATCAAATAGATTTATATATATTACAATTTTTCCATTGCCTATAACAATAATAAGAAATATTCATTAAACAAGAAATATTTATTTGAGAATATCCAAAACGAGAAGCTCGATAAGAAAACTACATATAAAATCATAAGAGTGCGTAAATCCCGATAAATAATCAATATGAAAGCTTGCACATACTCAGAACGACCAGGCTATAGATTCTGAAATATTTTAAATCTCAATATCTCGGTTATATTCCGCCGAACTGACAACCAAATAATTCGAAATCTCGAAAGATTTTTGGTCGCGAGGCCCCCGCATCCGGCCCAACCTTTCCATCTCATTTATCTCTTTTAGAGTGTCTGCGCGGCAGCTAACGCATAAAGCCTCGTAACAGATAGCACCAACCTATAAATTCAGAAAGATTTTAATTCTCCGTCCTAGGTCTATGCGCTCCGCCGAGCAGGCGCGCAAACAACCAAAGAGAGATGAATCAAAGAAAGACCGTTCTCGAAGCAAGGGCCGAGAATTTTAGTCGCGCCGACCGCGCTACAAACCTCGGAGATTTTAGAGTAGCTAGCATTTCCGCAAGTGTGCGCGTTGCATTATTGAGGTATATTTTTGCATCAAAATTCACGAATCTTCCAAGAAATCTTCTAAAATCGCAAATAAGAAATTTCCCTTGCATTCCCATATTAATCGGCCAACATATGTTTCCAGACCCCTTTATATCTCCTGGAAACGAAATAAAGTATATATGCTCGCCTGAACCACAAAAATTTCAGCACAAATGCCTTTCAATCCCGTTACCTCAATATCGTGAAGCTAGCCTCTGGATATTCAGTATCATGATTTTGCCATGGTTGTTTCTGGTAGGTTTCAATCGTTTTTATTGGAAGTGCCTGCTTTTTCACCACAAGCCCCAAGTAGCCGAGCCATTTTAGTGAAGTACATGGTTGAATGCACTGGAAGATCCGTCACAAAGTTGATGTAGTATCTGTGTCGAGTTGATATGAAAAGGACATAATGAGAATAACATTTAGCATCATTTGCTTTTTAATTCAAAATTCTGCGGCGTAATTGACACTCACTTATACTAGTTTTGAGCTAGCAGGGCCAATCCGTGTTTCGTCTCCGTCGAATTATTGGCAAAATCTGACAAATTGCGGAGTTGACTTTGAGGGCTCTAATGATCAATACGAGCCCCAGAACTCTTTCATAGTATTGCTGGCATACACAAAGCCCCCTTCCTGCTGATTGGCGCCCATTTCTCAGCGGACTGGTCATGGATCGGCACACCAAACCACCCCGGCCCTGTGCAAGCCTGGAGGGTTCTGTGCAAAGGTATGCGGAAGCAGCCAGCTTGGCTTGACAAAATTGTGAGTGTCGAGCTCCTTCATTCAACAAAATTGTTCACAGTAGAATTTACGATAGATTATCCTAGAGCCCCTGATTCCTCTTCTGCGTTACGTATGTGTAAGAGCCTAAATAATCTATTGTAATTCTACTGTAGATTGTTCCCATGATTCATGCCAGAAGGCCTCCGCATCTAAGCGGATTCATCTTTCATGGAAGTTCCGGCAGCGCGAGGTACCCAGTATGGCCTGGCCGAGTGGTCTGCCTTGGACACCTGCCTGCCTTGGTCGTGCACCAATGCCACAGCTGTGCAACGGCACCCTTGCTGTGCGAACTGGGACATGAGTTCGAACACCTGGTGCGAGGCAAGGATCTGCAGGAGTACAAATTCACTGATCCGCAGATTATCCGATGCGTGGCCGAGCTGGCAGCACAGCGCCTGCAGTCCAAGCGCTCAAAACAAGAGCGAAAGGCCTGGCTGTCAAGCAGGCCGCCAAGCCAGTCAGAATGCCACGCCAACAAGGTCTTCACCTCGGCACATACTCTCACATACAAGTATATGCATAAGCACATACATATTGCAAAGTGTATCTGCACACGTGTATATAGACGGGAAAAAGCAGACACGCAGAAAGAACAAGAGAGCGAGAGATAGGCGTGCAGACAGTAGATCACTAGGATATGCACAGACCCCTTACCTGCTTGGCAAAACACTCCTACACGCATACTTCCATGCAATTGCTCTGTCACCAGAGGGTTCTGGACGCGAAAGGCTTTAAAGCACGTAGCCACACAAGCAAGTAAGGGCGCATGGGTGACGGTCTGTTTGACAGAAGTTACTGTAGCAAGCTTGACAATCTGGACAATGTGCCCATCAGGTTCCAGTTCAGTTCAACACCTGGACCAGTGCTCCAAAGGCTGCTGTACTGTATCAGTGGAACTGCGTTGTTACTAACGCGTGTTCCGGCCGTGCTGCCAAGTATCAAATACAGTATGGTGCAAGCCGGTGCCGAACCAAACCCCAGTAAATGCAATATTGCCGCAATGCTGGCGCGCAAACACACGCACACACACACACATACACAGATCACCTCAGGGCTTGCTGGCTGTAGCCGGCTGGTCGTTGTGGGACTTGAGGCATGCTCTGAAAGACAACGAAGGTGGCAGCGAGCTGCCCTGAGGAGCAAACTAGGTCGTGCTTTGCATAGCGGGCGTCGGTGCTTGTCTGGGCGGGGCGTGGAGGGTACAACTCGTCGCTCTCAATGGTTCCCCGTCAATATGAAATTCGGCCAACGTCACTTGTGAACAGCTCCCAAACCAACTGTTGAATGAGACCCACAAAAAGGAGGGCCTGTTGTACTTATTGGGTTGGGCCACAGCAACTATCTGATGCACCGCCCGCCTCTGACTGGAAGTTCAACCTCGGTCCAGCGTTTCATTCTGTTTGCAAGCGGCTTCCTGAGACCCAGCACCTCCACTACACTTCTTCGGCAGCTGCCCAAGTATGTCGTCGCTGTGACAGGATTTGCAAGCCGAGGTACAACAGCTCTTGGACTTCCTGGCAGCTTTGCTCGGTGTGGCAAACCACTCAATCGACGCATGGTAGTTGTTCAATGCCTGTCCACGAAATTGCCATAAGCTAGGTTTGCCTGTTTTTTTAGGATCCGCTGTCAAGGACGCGTATTCTCAATGGTCCCTTCTTTACAACAATTTTTGGAACAACCCCCCATATGATGGCAAAGCAGTCTGTGCTTGCTCAGGGGTAGTCTGATCATGACCTTCAAGTACCTACTGGGAGGTACTGGTGTCTGCTGGCACTGCTATTTAAGACCTTACCGCGTTTCAGTCTTGCTTGCCCGCCCCCCTTTGTCTCCTGAGACTGCAACGCCTGCTGAGCAGCAGAACGAGACCTGAAAGAACGCCAACCAACATCGCATCATCAGTTCGTACTTGCGCATTGTTGCATTTGCACTGTCGGACCTGGCTCTCTCTTGACGAAGGGGTTGCCAATGCCCCCACGGTACACACTGCAAATGGGTACTGAAAATGGAACCAAACCAATGACTGGAGTTTTCGCTACGGGAGCTCCCACAAGGCATGCGCGCTCCCGAGATGTCCTCATGCCAGAGTTGTCCAAGCCGACAAAAACGACTGGGCAGAGTTGTGTGCTTCAAGAGGTGGAAGGGCAAAGCACTTTCCTCGACAAACCTTTGAATTCTTGATAACGCTTTGCCAACTTTGAGGTTCAAGCTGAGAGGACAGCAAACCGAGCAAATCTTACAACACAAGTGCCCTCACCAAGGACCAAGCCGTGACAAAATGGAGAGCAAGCGCCACGTGTGAGGTCGCCTTGCGAGAGCACCCTCAAAAAGGCATATCTGAAACCACATATACTGTTTCCAGCGGATTCTTTCGGCGAGGCCCACTAATTCCGAAATGTAAGGGCCGATCACATCTGGGAATGGCTTGACGGACAGATTCTTCAAAGCCTGAGTCCGTGTGTGTGCTTGGTCAGCATGAGTGCCGGGCGGGCGCCTTGAACAAGTTGCAAGTGTCTGAGACCCTAACAGCCGGAGTCACTTGCTCCTCTGCGAGGGTCCACAGAAGACGGAGATCATCCTGCCCAGACACCGCACGACACAACGTTGTGGAATTCTCGCGTTTGCAATCCGAATGCTTTTCTCCACCTGGAACTGTCTATGCAGCCTGCTAGAGTGACTGCTCACTCTTTTTTTGTCGCTGCATAGAGGCAGTCTCAATCTATTGCGCATGGCTAAATATAAGCCTGGCTGGTTTCCAGTCAAGCCACCCGGTGCTTCGCAATGCCATGGGGTGATCTGCTAACTGCTATTGATGGCCAAATTCTTTTTCAGGATTCTCAGCTTCACTGAATGCCCATGGCCAGCTGGGTCACCGACCGTTTGAGAAACCGGAAGCGAAGGAGACACAGCAACAATGGCAAAGGCTGCCTGCTGCCCTGTGCAGGTATGTGTAAAAAAAGGTCTCTAGAGATCTCCATCGCGGAGCTCGAGGGTTCTGCTAAAAACAAAGAGACAACATAGCTTCTGGAATGGCTCATTGTGTGCCAGAGTGCCCATTCCTGAAGCTATTTGGCTCCAGCTTCGCATGAAGCTGGTGCACCTCCGCAAGCGTTTACAGGTGATGCGCCGCAGTCACTCCTGCCCAAGCCTGGCCAGAGCAAGTCTCGGCATGTTTCTGCGTTCAGGTGACTTGACTTGCTTGAGATGCTTCGACCCCAAAGGCCCATATGTTTATAACTTTCTTGCGGTGCTTTTGGAATGAAGCATCGGCCAATATCGGCCAGGAAACAAAGCGCTAGTCTTGGACACGACGCTTGCAAAACAATCCCGCAAACCCATCCAGTGAGGCCTTGCTCAAGGTGTAGAGGAGCACAAGCAGAACCATACCAGCAGCTAGCCACGGGCCAACTTCCCAATCCAATCGAGCTTCACCTAAGGGACAAAGAGCCTTTTCCATCTTGCCATGGCTTCAAGAAGCTTACTGTAGACAACTGTTCTAAACATGCATGAGCTCCCAAACAGCAATGCTGTCAACCCTTCCGCGATGGTCATCCGCCGGTGTTGCAAGAGAAACCATTCAGAAACAAGATAAGCAAATGGCAGAACGACGTCCAGCGCGGGCAACACTCCCGGAAACGATATCAAGTTCACGGATCAAAAAAAGGGCCTCGCGGAAGCGTTGGAATGCCCCCCCAACAACGAGTGCGTGTCCGGCGAGATGCAGGGCGCAGTGCAGATATACGTGCCCGATGAACCGAAGAACAGCAGTATCAGCATCTGATGCTGCTTTTGTTTCTGTGATCTTTCCTGTGTGGTGGTGGCGCCCTTGATAAGCTTTCAACGCAGTGCCACCGATCCCGGAGACGGGCTCGATCTCTGCATAGGCTGGCTTGAGCTTTATTAAAAGAAGTGCTTGTTCATCTTAGAGGAAGCCTTCTCGTACCTTGGCTGCTTTGCGCCCACGTGCTGCCAGAGACCTTTTGATGCCAAAATTTGATTGACCCCAAAAATTCCTTGGTCCTCAGCGCACCCAAACAGCATACATGAACGGTGGTGGCTAAACAGCAACAGCAACAACTACTGTACAACTTCCAAACGGTGACGAGGCAAGCGGATCGTTCAGCAAGTGTGCCAAATGTCGCTGGCAAGGCCCGGCCTTGCCTGCGAAAATGCGCGACTGGAAAGCTCCTCGTGGCCCGGCCTAGCCCGTGAAGTGTGCCCAATTTCACAGGTAAGGCCCTGCCTTGCCCGCGAAATTATAGCAGGCTCCAGGAGAGCTAGTGCGCGACGTTTTTGCTTGCTGCTTGTGTGACTTCAGCGCTGAACGTTGACCTCCGAATTATTTGCAAAGATGTATAGCTGTGCAAACCCATGTTTCTCAAATTCCTGGCTGTGAGACCTTCCAGCAAGTACGCACTTTTAAGAACGGTGACAGGGATTGGGCCTTGCCTCCGCATGGAGACAGGGAAGTTTGCACGCAACGCTTAATGTCTGAAATCACGACTTGTGCATCCAAACATTACCATATATTATTATCGCTCTGGCTAGTACTACATCATGGCACCAATAAGGGTCTGCCAGAGCGTGAGCGCGAGAAGAGTCATCGGTGCAAAGCTCTACATGACAGATTCCCCTGTAAAATGCAACATTTCAGCAAGCACGCAGCTATGAGGAGTCCCGGGCATACACGTCAAACACCTGGGATTCTTAAGCGTGCCCTTGAATACCCTGCTTACTAGTTGTAAGTGTCTGGGAAGGTACTTATCGGATGCGCTGGAACATGAACGCGATTCTGGCTGGGTCTGGGGCAAGCTGGTAATCGGGGAGTAATCGGGCGATGATAAACTATGGGGCGCAGCTTGGTGCTAATAGAACGAACCTTGCACTAATCGGGCAAGGGTAAACTTAAATCCGAACTCCGCACACCCTGGGACTCATGGGGCGTAGCTTGTACTAAGGGGACGAACATTGGACTAGTGGAACATACTTTGGACATGTTTGGACTAATAGGACGAACCTGGACTAATGGGGCGGTGAGAAAATCAAATCAGAACTGTTCACACAACTGGACTACTGGGGCGTATCTTGGACTAATAGGAAGAACCTTGGAATGATGGGCTGGCGATAAATCTAAATCAGAACTGCTGACACCCTTGGACTAAGGAGCTCTCGTATCTAGATGCAGCCAAAAAAAAACAGACATCAACGATGTTACGGTCTGGGAATGAATGATGCTGTGGCAGGCGAATTCGCCTTGATCCTTGGATTTCCTGGAGTGAAAAGGGCGGCGCGTGGTATACGCAGTATGTTGGGCCCTCGAAAGACTTTGAATGTGCAGTTCATGCCACGCAGGCCTCATCCAGAGAAGTTGGCCAAGTACACAAGTTTTGTGCGTACAGGCGGAGCTCGTCAAAAAGTACAAAACTAGAATGTAGTAACGGCAGCAGTAGGAGTACAATGTTCCCACCAGCAGTGATAGTATGTCATCGTACGATGTAACAGTGACACTACTCATCAAGTAGCATGCATACTATGCACTTGAACTCTTACCGACACTACTACGGATACAAGAAAATTGTACTACTCGTTCTGTTCCTGCTTGGATTCCAGGTTCGTTGCCTTTGCAGCTGCTGCCACTAGGTTGCTACTTAGGTTAACGTGAGTTACCTATTTCCAAGTCTAAAGCGCGCGTGCGGCTAGTAAGCAAAACCAAAATGAATTGAGAATGTAGATAGTACAGTTGTTAAAAGCAGACAGCATGCGAAACACTGCAGCCCTGCAACGGTTCTTGACTACCTTGGAACGCCCCGTGATCTCCTTCAAGCGCTCGAAATAGGCCACCTTGCACAGCACTCGCTGAGAGTGACGTGTTGCGAGGGGAAATCAGGCCGCAGTGACTGATGACTTGCAATGGATTGTTGTGGTTACGTGAGGCTATTATAGCCCATGTCGTGACGTTGCGCATTCGAGCACGTGTCAAATCCAAGCCGTGGTAAGTGCAGCAAAGGGTCAAGGATCCAGACGTAGTAGGCAGCAGTAACAGCCTGGTGCTCGTTCTGCCGGCTTTGGTTATGCAACTGCTCTGCAGCCCGTCAGCCAGAACACCAAAAGGTGTGGCATCATTAGTGGCTCCAAGACAAAGGCAAAAAAAACCAGCAGCAAGACTTAAAAATATTTTGCAGGATGCTTCCGTTCCTTGCCATAAGGCCTGCAACTAAGATACCGAAAGCACCAGGCCGAAGATCTGCCAGGACGTGGGCAGTAAAACGACAAGATCAGGGTAGCTTTGCAGGTGCAACATCAACACTCAATCCAAGCGAGCATGCTGTGCTCTGAAGCCTTAACATCCCTGCTGTGATGGTTGATGGCGACCACCGCCACTGCTGCAACGTACCTAGGCGAAAGGCGGTCTCGGAGTCTTGCCCTCAGAGTTGTCAACATGGGCACCTCTAATGCTGAGCGACCATGACCCCTTACGCCCAAGAAGGATGCACATCTCAGACAAGGTGCATCCCCTTCTCTGCATAATGCAGCAGGGTTCGCTCGTTTGCGAATACCGCTTTTGGATCCAAATTTTCCATGTCCTCAGGGAACAGGATTCTGACCATGAGGTTGCTCAGAGGTTATTGAGCTGCGCAGGGGGCTGGCCCTGAATTAGATTTTTCTGACCCCGCACCCTCAAGTTACATCGCAGGATTTGGGAGTTTCCGTTTGCCTCAGAGGCTTCCTCTGCTGCCGCACTGTCCGGTCACATTCTGAACCACACCTGCGAGGTTAGAAATATTTACAAACACGAAGGCTCGACTATGCATGTTGTGTAAACGAGCTCGTCCCCCAGCCACGACCCCAAACTCTGATGCCAGATCCAAGCCGTCCGGGACACCATCGATGGTTTCAGGTTCTATGAGTGAAAGCAACACCATGCTGGGAAATTGCTGTCAGGACACTTCAACAAGTCCTAGACACGGTCGGCTCGGCAGTAGCACGAAAACCATCCAAACAACGTGAGCAGCAATCCATGGTGTGGGAAGGGCACGGCCAATCAAAACAAGCTTCTGGAATGGGAGGCCGAAGCTGTACAGTATCAGGTTCTGGAGCGCCCGAACATCCCATTCAAGCAATTCATGGGGCCCAGGCATGCCGATTCGACGGGGCGGGCCCGTTACACTAGCTGCTAGCTGACCTTGCCCTACTGGTCCTTTAGGTTGAACCTTGCTGAATTGGTGACACTTTAGAAATTGCGCGCCATAATATCAACGTCCGCATCCGCTCCTTTAAGAAATGGCCCTCACCGCCAGGTGCGACCACTTTCTCTACCATCGGTACCTCAGTCAACAAAAACTTTTTCCCTTGCTCTTGAAGACGACGATCAAGCCAATACATGGAGCTGTAATGTTGCCCATCCGAGGACAAAAATGCTGAGCGCTGGCTGAGCCACAGCTAGGTCGTGCTCCGTGAAGGAAGACCCTCTCTCTGCTTGGATTCTTTCTTTGGGACCTCAAGTGCACCCAGTGTGCAGCAGTCTTGAAAGGCAGCCTGAGCGCTCAGTCTGACCCAAGATGGTGCTGAGTTGCTCAGCTTTTGTCGGCGCCGATAGCTGGCAGCAGCATCGTCCTGCAAAATGCTGGGTTAGAAAACCATTCCCAAGCTTCTCCCCAACGTCAAAGCCCTGCTCCTTCTTGTTCTGCCACTCCTGGAAGTCTTTGTGCCAGTGTGGCAGTATTGGCACTCGCTGCGGGTGGAGAAAAGCCATAGCATGCCTTGGACACACTGTCCATGGACCAGGATTGATTTGCCGACCCTATCACCAGGTTCTAGATTGACTATGTGCGCTCGAGGAGCTGAAATTTCGAAAACTTGTGGACTTGGATCGCCTGGCTTTGAGCTCTGCAAGGTGGACGAAAATGTGAACTCTTGCGGAAACAGTATTGCAGGAAGTGGTGCAGACAAGGCTTGTGCTCTTTCTCTTCTGAATTGTGAAGAAGCTTCAGTCCAAGGCCCGCAAGCTTCACGTACCAGGGAATGCGGACTACACCGCTTCAATGGCATGAGAACCACTGCTGTAGCAGTCTAAACGTGTCGGGGGTTCCCCGATGTCGTTCAAGGTCTGCCGCAGCCACAAGGGAGCTTCAGAGACGTCCTGCAGCTTGATTTCCAGGATGGCATACCTTAATCTTCTGTCACTGCCTCCACCGAGATATCACCAGCATCCAACAGGGTTGCTCTGCTGCACAAAACAGTGCATGCCATGCATGCCCAAGCAGCGGGAACCGGTAGACATCATCCCGCTGCAGACTGTCTGTCGCAACGTGGCCTTGTGCGGCATTGGAAAGATCAAGAAGTCACACGAAGCCCAGTCTGTTCCAATCGGCCAGGAAAAACAGCTTGATCAAAGCGCAGGATAGTTGGATTGGCAAAACTGAAGCCGTGATATGCGGCATATGGGATTATGTTTGTGAGTTGAAAACACCAGTGTATCCTCTAGGCACGAACGCTGCCTATCAACTTGCCCGCCGCGTTCCGCCGTTCTCTGAGCAGTGGTCCGGATCAGCTTCCCCTGAAGCAATTTAGCCTTTGCAGCCTACCATAGATCTGGCAATCGTAACTCGGCGTAGAGTCGAGGCCCGTGTGCTCTAATGCGCTGCAACATGCTGACATCAAGGTCTGACAAAATTGCTTTCAAGATCAACCATGTTGCGCTGGTGCTCCTCTTGGGGGAAGCAGGCTTGGTAGCTGCTAGCTATTATATGCTCCCCGCTATGTACGACATCCAGAAACAAGCACGTGCGGCTCGCGGCCAGCGCCATCAAGTTTTGAACATGTCAGAATCCCGCTGTCTACTGGGGTGCCCTTTCTCCGTGCATGGCCAGAAAAGCTCAGGAGGCATGAGTCTCAGCTTCCCTTCCTCCTATCGGCCTTGTTCTCTTGTTCATTGCCGCTGCAGGCCTGACCCCCTTGCGCTTGGAACATTGACCGGCAAGGTGACTTCTCAGTTTGTAATTATTGACTGTCATGGTGTATCTGAGTTGGCCAGTGCCGCGGGAGGTGTTGTCCTGAGTCCTACTGCGCCGTGCGAAGCCATTACAACATGCTGCCAGTGGCCGTCAAGGTGCACCAAGGCTGGTTTTGGTGACCTCCTGCCATATACTCCTCGGATTGAATCAGAAATGTGCAAATCGGCGCGGTTTTGTGCAAGCAGAGATGTGCAGCTAGGATACGTTGAGGAGTGACATCTGGGTGTCGAGGGAGATCCGAACCTTGTTGTCAGTGGCAAGCCTCAGCCCACTCAGCTAACCCAGCTTCTTCACCTGGGGAATTCACATCTTTCTGCCGCCCTGTTTCTGGAAGGCACATCTGTAATAAGATGTTCGAATGATGGGCTGCAGCTTCCTAAGTACCAGCTGCAATTTCAGCACAGGCAGGTACTGTCTGACTGAAGTTCAGCTCTCATGAATCTCGACCGAGCAACTTCTCTTGAATTATCTTGTTCACCTGTCTAAAGAATGGACGTAATGGTAGGACTCCGTGGTTCTGCTACGCTTCTACGGCCCATTCGCTGCATGCGGGTGTTTCCTTCATCTCATGCTCCAGTGTTTGCCCCCACCTCCACAGCGATTGACTTCATGTTCTTTCTGGCCTTTTCGGAATACATTCCTTGCTCCTCCAGCCTTGGACCACAAGATTTTTTCAATATCAACTACAAAGCTGCAGCACAATGGGCCAAGGTCTGAAGGGTCTGAACTGCCTCGACATCAGCTTGACACGACGGTGTGTGATTTATGGGTGTTGGCTAGCGCTCCGCTGCGTTTCACATACAGCGTAATCTGGCAAACAGCGCGGGTCATAGGAATATCGGAATATCAGAGCCAAACTGCTCTCGTTCCGGGAAGTGAGAAAAATGCTTGATGAATGTCCTGATGCTCTTGCTCACAACACTAAGGTTCTCGATGCCGTAAAAAGCAAAGTTTTTTCACATAGCTATCACATGCAGATTGTCTGGCATGTGCTGTCGTTGCAGAAACAACTTCACCCGTGAATGTGGCACGACGTTTGAGGGGTTCATACACAAATGAGGACCTTAAAGCTCAACTACGGTTAGTCACGACGAACAAAAAGAAGGAACATTTTCTCAGGTATACACGCACGGGAGAACTTGAATGCAACTTTCCTACAGTAAAACCGGGGCACTGTTCTCACTGCATGTGTTGCCTCGCAAACTCAACTGGTGGTTCATAAGCTGTCCTTTATCAGACAGCCTTTGGGAGGTAATGTCAGCAGTCCCTTCAAATGGTTAATGGGACTTAGATTTGATGGAAGATGCAATGGAGCCAGGCAACTGCTTGAAGTAGCCGTTGATGTCATACTTGCCCTTCATGAACGCAAAGATGTCCTGTCGGCATAGAAGACATGCTCATGCAAGGGGCGAATGCATCTTCATGGTAAACCCGACTTGAACTGAAGAACCACGGAGACATCTCCCTGCATTCCCGAGTGCCAACCAACGGCCTTCTGAGGAATCACGCACCGTTCTTTCGCTGACTTCTTGCCGCCCCAGCCCTCATGGTGAATCTTCCGCTCCACATAAATCTCTTTGTCCGTTTCCTGGTTATTCCTTGGCGGGCGCTACCAAAACTCTAGGGTTCAGCTGAAACGTGTGGCTTAGGTTCACAGGCTTTTTTTCTGGATACACTGTGAGGGTAGCACTGCTTGAGTTTTTAATGGCCGAATGGTAGGCAAGAGCTGCGGGCATGATGTGTTGCAACAAAACACAGCCGCATGCCTACAAGGTGGGCTGCCACCGCAGTTCTGGCATCACACCACAGAAAAGCTATCCTCTCTGCTCTCTATACTTTAGGTGTGCAGAGATGACTGAGTGCAAACCCGGTCTCTCTCCGTACCATCGGAACCTTTCACAGGGCTTCCCACACTGGTCACGGCTTGAAAGCTTGAATCTTTGCTCTCCATGCCATGCCCAATGCCAAAGCTCAACATTTTTGGATTTAGCGCAAGCGAGCAAGCCAAGATGTAGAGAAGTTTTCTTTCTGTCTCCATGGCAGCCAGCAGCTGACACAGGGTTGGATTCAGGGCTGCACAAAACTCAGGCCACGATTACAAGTCCAACCGCCATCAGGCCGCCATCAGAAGGGAGGTCAGGAAGCTGTCGAGAGTGAGTCTCAATGGAGTAGCCAAGCATGGTCCATGGAGAAAGGGAGGCAAGGAAAAGGGAACGCAGCATACATACTTCTGCTTCCAGGTTCCAAGCCTCACCAAGCGGGCACCTTCTTCGCGACGGATTCGCTCCTGGTAGCTGGTGGCTTCAGGACCTGGTGCGAGAGGTGCAAAGCACACATTACATGAAAATTCACGCTTGCATCCTCAACGGTCGAGGACCAGGCTGTCGAAGTACACAGAGCTAAGGAGCTGTGACTCCTCCATGGTGCCGGAGTAGGCACTCATGGCCTGGCTGCTGAAAGACTGGTAGGTGGATGTAGGTGACGCACTCTTCCCAGTATCTGATTGTCATCTGGGTGTCGGAACAGCGCACAATTCGCTTCTGAGCTTTCTCATAGCGATCCCGCCTAATTATTCTCCTTTGTTGCCCAATCCAGCTCCTGCCTTCTGCTCATCAAGCCCATCATACTCTAGGTCGAGCAGCGCAAAAGGCTCCAACAACTTCTCTTGCTCCTTGCCCGCACGAAAAACGTCGAAAACAACAAAAACAAATCTAGACGATTTGCAGCACAGCCAAGCTCTGGTCAACATACAGAGACACTGCCGGCTGCTCTGAGAAAGCTTTACCACTTCCATGCAGCGAGCTTTGTGCAGAAAGGACACTGTCTGAGATGCTCCGAAAATCAAATACCTTGGATTTCGAAGTCTCTTCAGTTTCTGGCTGTCATGTTCCTCTTGACTCTCGACGTGTCTTGCCACCTGTCTTCCTCTTGGAGTCAAGCCGCGGCAAATGCTCCACAATTCGGGTCTTTAAGAGGACAACCTTCTCTGGTGCGACCCAATACTTCGATGTGTTCCTCAACAAGCAGCTGCTCTTGCTTATGATGTGCAAGTATCAGTTCTTGCTGAGCCCTTGCCACATAGCACTTTATCTTCAATAAGCAGTCTCATCCGCTAAACCGCTAAAGCAAGCTTGGAACGCAAGCAGAGAAGTCAGCAAGGCCAGGAAGATAAGGCACCGAATGAAGCTTTCTGGCGGCTTCCACGTGGCATCCTATCATTCCAACTCGCAGGCCAGCCCAGAATGCAACTGTCAGGCTTTGACTCATAAATCGCCGCGATCCTTGCTTTGCTCTGTGGACTGCGCTGTTCGCCACAGCGCCCAGGCCAAGCCGAGTAAAATCAAGATATCATCGAATCGGATGTTGCCTGTGATAATACACTGAGTCACTAGCTTGGAACTCTGAGGCCAGGTATTCAGGTATGGGCAGCTGCTGGCCAAGAGGCAGAAAGGCTCGCAATGAAGTCCTGACACGAAGAGTGCACTCCCGGCAGTGCCCAGCAGGTCGTCAAACTTTTCGGTTAACGTCTGAAACCCCACGTAGTTGAGGCGAACGAACCTGAGGTCATGCATACTGGGCTTCCTTCCATGTGTCAGATACCCTTACAGGACCGTTTCAGCTTTTGTTGATGTGGACTGACCTTAGAGCCCAACGTGGTACACGTACAAGGTGCATACAATCCTACAGTGGCCTCACGGGATCAATGCGTGAATGAGTTGATCTTTCAAAGACGTGGCCTTTCTGAATGGCCTGCCGTGTGTTGCAACACTGAGGCTCGTGCGACAAATGGGCTACGCATTGACCCCAGTATGCCAAGTACGAGTACTTCATTCCACCCCGCAAGTCTCACAATCTCTTGTCAACATTTTACAGTACAATCCCAATTCTAATCTAGCCGATTCAGACACACCCTGGTGACAGCTATCACATCTCCTGGCCAGCTGCTGCTAAAACGTGGTGCACCTCCACCGAGCCTCCAGCAATGAAGCTTGCCAAGCGACATGTCCAAGTGGACGATCTGCTCGCCCAGTTCACGAATGTTTGCGGCTTTGTTCTCGATCTCCTATGCTGTGGAAGACAGTAATCGCATCCTAGTAAAAATGCGGGTGATGCGGAACAATCGTGCCAACGCCCTTTTCCTGGCTATCCCCATCTCAGTCTCTGCCTCCATTTCCATTGACACGAGAAGACGCGCCCGAGTCCGAAACTAAATCAACGAAACCCTCGCGTAGGGCGTCCTGTGTCGTTTCTTGGCTCACAATGCCCATTTCACTTCTACACTAGTGTTTCGTGGATCTTACAAGCGGGTCAGCTTTGCTTTCAGCATGGCTTTGGTCCCTCCGCTGTTTCCTGATGTTGCTAAGATGATTGCCGGCTGGGATTCCTCATTAGGATGATTCATGACAGTGCTTACCAATTGGCATGTGTAAAATGCTCCAAGCGTCGTCCGGCTGCAACTTCTTGCATTGAGCACACACTTTGCGCAGGCCCAAGAAAATGTCTTCATGTTTGACCTGATCTCCAGCAAGCTTTCTTGCTGCAACAGCATGGATTTTGGTGCGCATGTCCTTCGAGAACTCCAATGCTGCCAAACAGCGCATGCAAAGTCATTGACCTTGTTCAGTTCTGCTCGAAGCATCCCTTGGAATCGCCCCATCTTGGTGGTGTCGTCCAGCATGTCTGCCGTCCTGATTGCCACGCGGAAAAGAATCCTGCTAACTGCAACGATACACCCTCCTCTGCCCCTCCATCTCACGAAGGTCAAGTGCGTCTGCCCTCTTACGAAATATCTTTACTGTTTCGCTCTTAGTAGGAATATTGACTAGAGCATGGAATGGGGCGGCTCGTCATCAGGACAGCCTGTGCGGACAGCATGCCCCCCTTTAGCAAATCCGGGCAAGCATTTTGTGGCCTGCCTCACCTGTGACTACTCAAAATCAGCACGTGCTACGTGCTGAGAGGCGGCCTGGGGCGCGGAATGGTTGGAATTTTTGGAAAAAGCTGCTCACACGACAACAACACCTCTCACCGATAGAAAAACCCCCCTCGAAGGCAGCAAAGTCAGTAGAGGACAGCATAGGAGGGCTGAAGTGTGTCTGTGAAGGCAAACGGCACTTTTTCCATTCCGAGAGGGTCAGACGAAGTGCCCCACAGTACCCCGATCCCCTTTATGACCCTCAAAACGTCCATCAAGACGTACCCAGGCTGCCACGGCCAAACCGCCCACTTGGTGGGGTCGAGCCCCCGGCAGGCTTTTAGATTGATGAGTTTCCCCCCCTTACCGCCTGGCAGTGATCGGCAAAGCTGGGCCTTAAACCAACAAGGATGGCAAACAAAGCTTGCTTTCACGCATGCTTACTCGGAGGAAGCTAACAGTCTGCTGGGGTCTGCTCGTCTGTGCTTGATATGATTGGTGTCTGGTCCACTTCTCAAGTCGTTCCATCAACCCCGTCTGGTTTATTTTGTGGCCACGGCTCCACGCTGGCTTCCGGTCGAGCGGCGATCCAACTTTATCTTAACCCCGGGTTTAGCACTTGCTGCTCAGCCATGGAAGTTGTCAGTCTCTGAGTCTTTGTATCGGCCTGTGGCCAAGGTCTGCAAACGAGCGCATGCGCACAGGTCTTTTATACAGGCATGATTCTGGAACGGCCGAACTGTGTCTCGCCTTTCCCCTTTCCATTCCTAGAGTTCATTGCATGCAGGGATGCTCAGGAACGCTACTACTCCAGTCAAAGGCTCTCCCGTCTTCTTTCCTTCTGTGTGGTGGCCAGCTGGAATCCGCGTGCTCCGGCACAACGTACTGTAAAATCGAACTCAAATAGGTAGCTTTAGCTGTAAACGGCAAAGCATTTGTACAACAGCATCAAGCGCAGGAATGAGCCGCATGCCATGCATCCAAGGAGCATCAAGCGGCCTCTCCCAGAAGCCAGATCCTCTTCCTCACAGCCCGACGACTCCCATTTTTCGCTGCACATTTACCTGCTGCGGCCTAGTCTTATGGCATGCACCTGAGCAAAATCAACGCAGTCTCGACATGGTGAGAAGAGAGTTGGTATCTCCAGTGTGGAGTTGTCGTGGATTGCAGTAGCACGAGGAAGCAATAGGCATGCATGTTCTCTTCCTCCTCTTCAGCCATTTTGACGACAGCCTGCTTGAGCTCTTCATAGTTCCTTGCAATATGCTTGACTCTGACACATGCACTTTGGCTAGCTGCAGTGTACTGACGGACCCCTCAGCTGGGCACACATAGAATTGCTGCCAGTCTGCAGGTTCCTGCATCTGCAACGCATGCTGCAACGCCAAATGCATCTCCAGCTTGCAAGCCCCTTCTGGGTAGCTTTGACGGGCGCCGTCCTGAGCCACCTTCTTTGTAAACCCCATGGCGGTCCACAGGCCGTGGAGACAGTTCACACGCAAGACTGCGATCGCAAACTGAAAGAAACACTGGCTGCATGGTGTATTGCGCTCAGGTGCAAACAGCTTCATATCATCTAAGAGCAAGACCACTGAAAGCTGGATCCCATGTCGACGGGCGAATGCTGAGATTTCATAGAGCTGGTATTCAACAAAGGCAGGGTGAGGTTTGGTGCGTTTGCCTCAGAATTCGCTTCACCTGGGCTTTCTGGGTCCACTGGGCCTATGCAGCTCAAAACGCTCTGGCATACTCACAGATGTCGCGACTTTCACAGTGAACAGCCAGGGTCGGCTTCTCGGCGTGCATCGAACGCGAATATCAGCTTTAAACTGCGGAGCTTGATGCGCAAAGAGGCAACAGCGTAGGCCCTGCAGGGTAAAACAGCAAGGCAACGGCACAAAGCAGTATAGTAAGTACCCATGATGTCTATCACCTCATCTCTTTGCTTTCATATGCTAATTGGTTGCCTCCACGCCACGGTGGAGGCCTCAAACGTGATTTCATACGAGGAATGTCTCGGTCTCAAAATCTCCGCTTAAGCGAGGCATGTTAAGGAGATCAAAATGCAGGGAAGGGGGTGATGGGAGAGGAAAGCAAAGACGATCAGCCCAGACCAGGGAAGATTCTAGTCAATACGAGTACACACGCTCCATACGGCCTCCTCAGCGCCAGGGGCACGATCCTCAAAAATGAAAAAGCACACATCACACATCGCCTTTTCCGTGAGGCATGCTTTCGGCCTGCAGTGTTGTAGCCCAAGCATCCATTGCGCCTTTGGCCACCTCATTCTGAGTCGTGCTGATGAGGGAGACCATCTCCTGAAAATGGCTGTTATTGAGTTTAGGGGGAGCAATGCAGGGACCAGCTGTTTGTTGGTGCTGAATAAAACTGATTCAAACTCCTAGCTTCAGAAAGCGCGCAAGAGAACACTTTTCCATGATCTCTAGTAGACCAAGCACGTCAGGTAGCCTTCAGGATTTCTCACCAGTGCTGCCTAACTTGGATGGACAGGATGGCTGCGCATCCAACTGTCCCGCATGCTCCAACATCTTGTGGCCGTTGCTAGTATTTACTGCATTGTGCCTGCAGCAGCGGCTTCCACCTGGCCATGAGTCAGATACGACCAAGCCTCAGCTTGAGACCGCCCAGCCTTATGAAGAAGCTGAGGCCCTCTGGTCGCAGCGAGGCTGCTGCCTTGCTTGGGCAGATCTCTGTACTCCTACATCTGTTGCACTAGTGTTACACCAGTGATCGCCAAGAGTACTTCCTACAGACATTTTCGCGGGTCATCATAAGCACCAGGCCCAGGCATGAATGGCGCAAAGACGCTGAGACACGTCCCGGCCTTGTCATGCATTGAAATTGTATCGACCCACATCTTCGGGCAACACACCCACCTGCTGCCATAAGAGGATGTGATGCAGCTTAGTCTTCTCTGCTTATGATCGCCCTGGGGAGAATGCCATCTATCATTCCTGCGATAGACTGTGGGAAAGGTGCCTGCCACTTTCACAGATGGGAAGATGCATGCGCTTCAAGAGCATCACCTCCCCAAGGAAAAGCTGCCAACATGCCTCATGGCTGTGGAGGAGCAGCTGTGCCCAGTGGGAACTCCTTCCTGCAGCAATCCGTAGATTGAGACTAGGTCCACAGAGTGCGCGTTTGGCATGACCTTCGCCTCTCCTGCAATGAATCCCAGCAAGCGTGTCACGCAAAGTCTGACCGATGGATCACCTTCCGCTCGGCCCAGATACCACATGCCACATCTTTCTGCTATGTGCATCTTGGCCAGCGCGCAGTATGGATCGCTCAGATCCTTCGCCAGCTTGTCAGGGACATTGGCCCTGGCTAAGAAATCCTCCCAAGAACAGTCAACAGAAAGGCCGCATGCCCATATCACCAGCTTACCACATTTGAACATGTTGGATTTACCAAGCCTGCCCGCGTGGGTAGGACCCCAGCCTGGCACAAATGCTATCTCTTCTTGGCAAGATCTTGACTAGAAGCACCTCCAAAGCAAGGTGTGCATCGCACATGGCAACACTCATAACAGCTTTTGCATGGTTGGCTGGATCAGTCGACTCCTTGCCTCAAGCTGCGCACGACAAGTCTACGGGAAAGGACCACTGGCACCAAGGCCGTCAGGGCGACCACGTGCCAGTCAAAATCTGCATCTGAGGACGCAGTGCAGTACAGCTCTTAGAGACCTCTGAACAAATTGCTCAGTTGCCAATTCTACGACAACCTGCTATACAACCTGCACATTATTGACTCCATCTAGATGAAGTCACTGTGCACTATGCCGTGGCAGGTGCAAGCTCGCCATTAATGAATGTGGCCCAACTTCCGACTGGTAGCGCAGCAGCTTTTACTTTGAGGTAAAGGTCAGAGATCAAGACTTTTCTGGCTTTATCCTGATCCGCAGCACTCATCTTTGCTGCAAGGCATTGTGAGTAAAACCACCGTCGCTGCTCATCCTCATTTTTCGATGCCAGGTAATCGTTGGCCTCCTGAATGTTGCCAACGTCAGGGCCATCCCAGGTGATAACTGTGTCAGCATATACTGTCCCGGTACCATAGTCACTGTCCATCTCGCTGACAACGGTGGACTCGGTCCTGTACTGAGACGCAGGTAGCCGCCAGTCTGGCATATCTGCAGAGTAGTATGTTCGAGAACCGCCGCATGCACCATTGCCGGCCAACTTCTTGGCCATCTTCTTCAAGAATCTCTCCTGCATCATGCCCCCATGGCACATGTAATGTGATGTGAAGGGTTTGGATTTGAGACTCGGCAGTTACAACTCATGGAGAGCGAGGGAGAACCCAGATTCAGAACTGTTGTTGGAGCCTTGCCTTCTGAATGATCAAGTGCTCCGCGCGTTTCGAGAACACATAAACTCCAGGGGCCAGAACACGGGCTGTCCCATTCAATTGCTTCACCTGAAGATCACAAAAGCCAAGCTTCAACAACTCGAACAAAGCATGAGCGCTATTGCCTGCTGGGCTGTTTGCTCCCCAAGCAGGGTGAGATCAGGAGAGGTCCAGCGCAAAGCGGTTTCAAGATGATGCCTGCATAAACAAACGTCTGAACATGCATCAGTAAACTGCTCGGGCCATGTCGCCGCAAACAACAATCTGCGGTCACCTGGCCTGAGCTGCTTGAGGTGACGCATTGCGTTCGGCTCCAGGCAGTTGAGGATCCTTGCAGCTGCGCACGTTCTGCCGCCCTTCAGGTTTAATGGCAACAGAAGACATCCCAGCTCCAAGGGAGACTCAACGATCTGTCTGTTAACCAGGCTCCTGCTTTCCAGGGCGGCCATTACTGTCCCGAGCTTCGCATCCAATTCCACCATACTTTTCTGAGGTACAGCTTTGGTACACCTTGGCTGCCGTGCACGCGTTAACGAAGCAAATTGGCACAAATGCAGAACATGAAAAGTAAACTCTGGCCAGCTTGCTCTCGCAGGTCGGATGTCGGAGAAAGCTGAAAATCACTCGAGCCGGTCTCAGAGGCCTAACAAGCAGCAATCGCAGCGCGATTGCGTTCATGTTTGTCTTTAGGACGTGCTGTATATCTGCTTTTCAGTTTTCAGGGGCCTGGGTTGGGACTGGAGGCATTCCGTAGAACATGTTGAGGATGCTTCACATGATTTCACACGCAAAAAGGCTGGCCTTGCTGAAGCCTTTGTTACTGGCAATGTCCCATTCGATGTCGTTGGCGCTTGTCCTTTTCATTGTGTTCTTTCGTCATCCAAACGCTGCCTGCAAGGCCTACACGTGAACTTGCTGTGCAATCCTAGGCGACCATCGTGGACTCGAGAAGGTCGCCGACTTCGCCCGTAGCCGTGAAACTGCAGCAGTTTCGCTTTGCGAGAGCCTTCGCAAGTAGAACTCCTTCAGCCGACTGATATTACCTCGGTACGGTCAGGACACTTTCTCAACAGAGTAAGGTTTGCACCTTCATCCGGGCAGAAGCTTTTCTGTGGCCTGAACTACTGATTGTCCTGAAACGTCCTGGACCCTACCTTTAATATCTGAGGCGCCTTTCCTTTGTAAATCAAGTTGAAATTCTGGAATCTCAATCGCAACGTCGGTCTTGCGGAGCTCGACTGTGGCACTGCTGGAGAGCGGCGAATTCATGGCCCGGTGGACGCAGTTTGCATCTGTTCGTGCTTGGGCCTCTCTCTGCAAATCTTGACGTCATACATCATATGTACAAACAAACATGTACTTTCGTGGATCTACAAACATGACATGCTCCTGACTGCCTGCCATTCGCAGCCACAAGTGCTGCGTGAAGCTTGGAACCAGGCGCGTCCATGAGCTCCACAGCGTTGAGTTTGAGCAGCAAATCGTCCGTGATGAACGAACTCAAAACCTGGCTGTGATACCAGCAAACTCACCCTAAGTATCTTCGGACGAAGGCACTCCTGAGCTGATGGCCAAGTCCAGTGCTTTGCGAGACTCTAGCCTGGCCGGGCACAGAATTTGCGGTAGGAGTGGCTTGCATGCAAGTTGAGTTGCAGGCGCCGCAAAAGCTTCTTCTGTAATTCGTCCCAGCTCCACAAACAAAGCGAGAACGCGTATCCGCTGCACCTGAAACAAGCTTGTTTGGCCATGAGGTGTTTCTTGAACATGTCAAGGCCCAAGCATCCGTCAGCTGCGGTAGTCGTAACTGAAGCGAGTCCTGGGCAAGCTGAGATGGGTACGGTCGCAGGGCATTAGGTAAGTGTGAACCATTCACGGCAACCAACAAGCAAAACAGGAAGCAGGAAAAAAGATTGCGTATTCAGATTACATCTGCTTGCAGTAAAATGGCTACCAAACCTTGGGCTGGCGGGGCGCCAATGACTGCCTGGCACAGCGTGGAAATTGTGAAGTCATGTGAAGCCTGCGATTTGTGCGGAAGCCAGCTTTTCGCGGCCTCCAGGCCAGCAGGAAACTTCACCACAGCGCAGACCTAAGCTGTACAATGATGTGCGCGCTGCAAAAATGGATGCCGAACTGATGCGGATGCTAAGACAGGCCTATAAAGTTGCCACCATGATAATTAAGCAGCAGCTTGTCTTCAAATCAATGACATCCCGTTGAAGGGATTCTGTTCCTTCCAAGCGCTCCATCGTCTTGAAGATGTTCTCATTCTGAGAATCGGCGAACATCGTGTGGAGTAAGGTGTGCGGTATATAATTTGGATCATTGCTGATCCCCTATACTCGGAAAGAGGTTCACGGGACATTTGAAGGTTTCCTTTCAAGATTTCCCAATTGCTAGTGTAGCTGCTACTGGTAGTGTTGTGACGGGCGTGCATATGGACAAGTTCCGAAACCTGGAATACGTTATGACCTCAAGAAAAATAGCAAATAGATAGGAAAAAACAGGAATCCAGAAATGGTTCCTAAAAACTTGAAGATAATAGAAAAACTAAGGAAAATCGGAAAAATCAGGAAGGACTAGATTCAGGGTTTGCAAGCGCATCCAAAAAATAGGAAACATTGGACAAAAATAGTGAAACATAGGAATCGAAAAGGAACTCCCTGTAAGGGCTAGTCGCCTCGCCCCGCGAGCACGGTAGGCGCCTGCAATGGGCCGCCTCCGGTTGCTTAGCTGCCCTGCCGCCGACCTGGACTTCAGGAAGCAGGTGCAAAAAGGTGCGCGAAAAAAGGTAGGAGATGCAGAAAATCTCGAATAGCAAAAAACAAGGAAATTCAACAATAAAACAGACCATAGAGAACAACCAGGAATACGCCAACACAAAGAAAACAACGTAGAACGAGTAAATATCACGAAATTCCGAAGAAACTGCAAATTTTCTAGGAATTTCCAAGTTTTTCTTCTTCTCCTATGTTTGCTGCGAATTCCGAATTTTTCCGCGAATACATATTTTTCTCTGCGCTATGTTGTTCCCTATTTTTTCCGATGTGCTTCCTATTCATTCTGACATTTTCCTATGTTTCTTCTATTTCCCATTTTCGAACTAAAGAATCCTCTTTTCCTATTTTCTCCCAATTCCAATTCACGTCGTTTCCAACTTCCTCAACCTATCCATGTCGCGCCCGTCACAATGCTAGTGTTAATGAACGTCGCCGCAGCCTTTCGACATACACAATGTACATGCTTTGAAATAATTACGCCTCAAACTCCAATCAACCTGGTCCTCGCGGTCTTTGACAAGTCTTACAATGGAGGTTGCGCGCATACCAGCAAAAGTTCACACCAAAAGTCAACAAACAACATCCTCCCAAGCGCCCGTGCTGCACGCGACGCTGCTTCCGCAACACCGGTTTCGTCATCCAGAAGCAAGGGTTCACCTGCAGTACAAGCAGGCACGAAACAAAAAACACCCTGTTTACCACACTGACGTAAGGTTGCGGCACAGGCGAAGCATGTCTGCTTGCAGCAGTTTTTCCACAGCTGCCTGCATTGCGCTTGGTGCATATATTATATGGCAGTTGGCAACGTGCTGTGGCACTGTGGCGTAAGGACACTTTGCATACTGCGTACGCCCAGAACCATAACTGGCATCCTCGGCCCCTGTGCAGAAAAAAACGAACCTTCACAACCATCCCACAAAGCTTCCCTTACGCAGACCTCACCCTCCCGTATCAAGGCCCCGGCTTGCCCATGTGTTGCCAGCTGACAAACTAATTTTGCCACCATTGCCCGCACCTGTTTCGAATGTTTGGACCAAGCACCAGCGTCTAAGCAATGCCATCAATACACTCTTGCATTCTCCCTGGTCTGAGGACATGGCACGCGGATCCGGCGCAGCTGTTCCCTCAACACGTCCATCCAACTTTTCGCAACAAGTGCAAGGAAACTTCATCATGCAAATACTGCGTCCCCGGCGTGTTCTAGGAATGCCCTCACATCATCTTCAATGAACGCGGGCTGCACCTGAGAGAAACCAACCACTCTGCTCCCGCTGTACCGTGGAGCACCCACCTCCTCAAATTCCGTCAATGCTTCCAAAGCTGAAGTCAAGAGCCTCAGCCATGATTTTTTTGTCCTGGTCTATGGGCATGTCGCGTTGCATTGGTGAACTTGGGGTTGCTGCTCTGCGTCTTCATCCCTGGCAGTAAGCAAAGCCTGGCCACGCGCGGGTATGCGGCGGCAGATGCAGCTCTTCAGTGCATGCATGCTTCAGGACGCGCCACCCCCACTGCCGCGACCTCACAGATCTGTCGCACCGAAAAAGCGTCCAGCAGCAGGCGCGCAGCCTGGCAACGTGCGAACGCATCCAGTGCACAGCGTTGCCTGTCTATAATTCGTAAGCGTGTAACCTTACGATACCTTACGTGTTGGTGTAGATTGTACAGTCTCAATATCTCAAGTCTTGTTAGTCGAATTATCTCTTTGCCGCTTCGTTCCCCCACATATGTTTCCACATTAGACGAAAAAACTCGTCGGCAGCTAAATCAGGAGCGGCTCTAAGGATTCGCCTCTTTAAGGTTGGTGTTTGCTGTTGTGATTTGTTTTGCTGATGCCACATGGAAACCGAAAACGCAACCAAACCTGCCACACAAACCTCAGGTACTGTCCAGGCCGGGGGAAATTTGAATTTTGAACATGGACCTTCCATCGGCCAGCGCTGTCCAAAAACCTTACGAAGAATCGACTGAGGGGTGGCATGTTCCACTTGTAAAAAAATTTGCCGCGGCTGAAAATTCCTCGGTCGGGGATGTGCTAGGTCCCAAACGCTTCAATTGGTAGGCCTGGTCATGCGGGGAGGTGGGAAGCGCAGTGGGGCAGGAGGTTGGGATGGAAGGTGGGAGGCTGGAGGCGGGAAGAGGTAGGAGATGGGAAGGAGGGGGGAGGGAGGTGGGAGGGGGGAGGTGGGAGTGAGGCGGGGGGAGGGGGGAGGGGAGGTGGAGGTGGGAGTAGGAGGTGAATCGATGCCAGTGTGTGCGGCTGGTTGGCTGATTTTTACTGCCCCGCGGCCCACGAAGGAAGCCCACATGACGGGAACCCATTGTCGAGCTTAGCAGTTTGAACCAACTAACCTGAGCCAAAATGACTACGGTATTGGTTGTGGATTACGGATTTGGTTTTCCAGATTTGGGGATGTAGGATGAAGGAGAGGGCTGGTTTTTTTTTGCAGAATTCGATGGGGGGATGGAATTTGGTGTTGAATTAGGTGTTGATTGTTCTTGTCTACAGCTATAAGACTGCTGCTTAATAGCTGCATGCTGGACTCCCACGGGGAAACGGCAATTGTTCCGCTCGACGAGCGCAACGCGTACGACAGCATTTCGCGAGCGGCCCTCTTGTGCAAGCTGCACGACATCACCGGAGCCCGCGAGCGCGGATGGCATTGGACACAGCTGTCGGGAAAATTGAGGCGCGCGGCGGCATGGCCTCGAATCTCGGCAAAACACGGGTGCTCCCAGCGACGTGCACACCAGCCCCGCCCGGCCTGGCTCAGTTTGGCCCGGAGGTCTGTCTCGCTTCATGGTTGCGCTGGGTCCCCCCGCAAGCCGAGTTCGTGCACGTGTTGACAGCGCAGCGCTTACTCGTACATGGCTGCCCCCGACCTGCAATGTGCCTGCCTGATGCTCGCGGCGCCCGCGCGTTGTGCACGGCGCCCCCACTAGAGGTAGCCCGCTATGTTGCGGGGCTCAATGATATGTGGCACGCGCTGCTCGACTGCCTAAGTGGCATAGGTGGCGAGGTGGGAACGTCAGCTGAAGATGCGCAACCTTCCCATCCTTCACGAACCACTGCGTTCCTGGGGGCCTTGGCCTTTAATCAGCAACGCGCCTGGCACCGGTATTTAGCGAACGCTGTTTCCAGCAACTTGCCCCATGTCCTGGTAGGACCAGGCAAATGCAAAGGCACCGGCAGCATCGATGCTCCGCCCGTCATGGAGGTAAAGCCTCCCATCGCTCGCGGAGCATTGCGTTTAGGCTTGGGAACGTAGGCGCCCCCCATGGCGTGTTTTGGGCCAGAATGGCCAGACATGCCAGACATGGTGGCCGGCCGCCGGCCAGATTCCACGCAGAGCTTGGCGACTGGCCGCATGGCTGGCAGCTGCACGCATCACGCACTCGCACCTCCAACTTTCGCGCCCGCGCGCTGTTGCCGTGTGTTGCCGCGTGGTCGCCAAATTTTGTTGCGTTCCCAAATCCGGCTCACATGCAGGT